ACCCTGCTGACACAAGTTTTGCACCGAAACACTGGCAATTGCCCCTTTCCATCACCGGCCATCGCGGCAAGCTAATTTTATCCTCCCCGGCCCCCCTCATCTCCTGGAGATTGTCCTGTTGCAGCCAAGGAGTGCTAGAAAATAGCACATCGCCCACTCATCCAGCCTCCTTCAAGGGAAATATTTATATTATGCCAAAGAGAGGGTTTCCATGGCAGTGACGACTTTAGCACCGTCGCCTTGGAAACCACTTGAGGCCATCTTGAAGGGTTTGAAAATACCCTTCAAAGACAAATAAGGAGCGGGAGCAGAAAGGCCGGCAGGATTAGAGAGGCATTTTGGTCTTCCCAGGCGTGCCCATCGGCACCTTGCCCACCCTCGCTGCCCGGGTGCCCACCCTGCAGCTGGTGCTCCAGGTCCCCGCCGTGCCGCCCCTGTGGGATGCTCCGTAGCCTGAGTGTTGATTCAGGAATGAACCCAGGACACATGAACGAGGCACTTTGCAAACAGAAATGGTTCGGCGAGCGCTTCCTTTGGCCTCCCAAGGTGTCAGGGCATTGCCAGTGTGAGAGAGCTGCCTCCAGCCCAGGAGGTGGCTTTGGGGACACCCCCCTGGGCTCACTGATGCCAGTGCCTGCCCAGCCTCCAGGTGCTTGCAGAGGAACAAGTCCCCAGGTCCCGTGTTGGCAGCCCCCGAGTCCCCGTTACATGCAACGAGACCCGTGTTTCTCCCCAGGACAAACCATCAAACCTAAACCAACTGCAAGAGGCGACTGCTGGCGGCAGAGCCTGCGGTGCCAAAATCCAGAGTCCCCTTTCCTCCTCCTCCTCCCACGGCTCAGCCCCCACGTCCCACGGTTCGGCCGACATCATGCTATCAGCTGTTTACTCTGCCAGCCTGCAGGAGCTCTGTCACCAGGGGCCATCCCATCTGGCTCTCAAGGACACCCAAAACACGGCAGGGAGAGCAAAGCTTTCAGAGCAGGTGGACGATGAGCTCCACGATGAAGCTGGTGGCGGCAGAGACAGCCAGCAATGTTACCTGCTCAAGCTACGGGATCACTGCCTTCTGGTTTTGGTCTCTATTTTGCTGAAAAATATTAGTCCCTGTCTGAATTTAGTTTAGGGCAATCCAAAATTTCTTTCCTGCCTTTCCCACCTTCACGCCAAGGAGTCAGTTATTTGCCCAGCCGGAGCTCTGCCCCTGGCACCCCCGCTCAGCTCTGCAGGGCATCTGCAGTGCTGCCAGCTGCCTCCCACCCACGGGCTCCTCCGTGGCACCCCACACCTGCCCCACGGCCAAAACCAGTCACCCACAAACAACTCGACCACTTTTCCCACAGAGAAACAGCCAGGCGGTGCTTAGTCCCTCCGTGGGTGCCGGCGCAGGGGTAGCTCGTGTCTCCCCATCCCTGCCCCTGCCTGCGCCCGCCCAAGGGGGGCAAGGGCCATTTCGGGGCACAATAGGGATGGAGTTACAGTGCCAGGGCACTCTGAGAATTTGCAGCCATGTGTCTGCCTGAAAAACACATGCTCTTGTTCTGAGTCAGCCTGGCCTGAGTGCGCCTTTACACCAGAGCCCCCCAGGCTTCAAGGGACGGTGGCTCCAGCCATCCCTGCCAAGCGGGGAGGCAGCGGCCGGCGGGGACGGAGCACAGGGGGTACCCAGGGGGTCCCGGGTGCCAAGCGAGGACGGGTACACTCACAGGGACAGCGGGTTTGCGCTGCTGCTGCCACAGCCCACGTGCACGTAGTGGTACTCCTACCCCCTTCCCAAGGCAAAACCGAGGAGCAGCCCCGTGCAGGCAGCATCCCAACCCTCCTGGAGGTGACGGTCAGAAACCCAGTTCTCTCCAGCTGCCGGAGCCACCAGGCGTGAATCGGGCAGTGTGGGGCTCTTGGGCTTCAGCCCAGGAAAGCACTCAGCAAGTGAAAATCCCCATTTACATCAACGGAGCTTCTCACACCTCAAAGGCTGAACGTGTGGGCTTGAGGCCAGCAAAGTTCTTACTTTGCCCAGGGGGGAGACCTCAGCGCTCCGTGTCACAAAAATTTGCGCCTACTCGATGCCAACCAAGGCGAGAGGCCGGGATGCAAAGCACAGAATTACAAGAGTAAATATTTGTGCACATGAGGTGGCCCAGCCAAACCGGGACACCTGAATGTGATTTTACACGGGGTTCTTACCCCCTTCAAGCAGTCAGGTACGTGGCTCAACCAACCACTAACACCCCCCCCTGCCCATTGCTGGTCACAGGAAAGCTTTGCAAAGCCACCCTATTGCCCCTTGTCCATTGACCACGGTGTCCCCGGAGTCAGCTTTGGGTCACTCAGGGTTTCAAAGACACGTCAGAGGGGCTGGGATGCCTGTGTGATTATGCTTGTCCTGGGTTATCCTTTATTCTTCATGGCCAACTCTAAGCATCCCAGAAACGAAGTCCTTCTTTCCAGGGCCGGGCTGTCCTTTAGTTTGTTTTATTCTACAATCATAGAATGGTTTGGGTTGGAAGGGAACTTAAAGCCCACCCAGTGCCACCCCCCTGCCCTGGGCAGGGACACCTCCCACCAGCCCAGGTTGCTCCAAGCCCCCTCCAACCTGGCCTTGAACCCCTCCAGGGATGGGGCAGCCACAGCTTCTCGGGGCAACCTGGACCAGGCTCTCACCACCCTCACACCAAACAAGTTCTTCCCCAGATCCCACCTCCATCTTCCCTCTTTCAGTGTCAAACCCTTCCCCCTCCTCCTAGGGCTCCCCTCCCTGATCCAGAGTCCCTCCCCAGCTTTCCTGGAGCCCCTTGAGGGGCTGGAAGGGACTCTAAGGTCGCCCGGGAGCCTTCTCTTCTCCAGGCTGAACCCCCCCAACTCTCCCAGCAGAGGGGCTCCAGCCCTCCCAGCATCTCCGGGGCCTCCTCCGGCCCCGCTCCAACAGGTCCCAGGGTTTTTCCCCCGCACGAACACCACGGAGCCTCCAGGAAAATTCCACTCCCCTACGGGCCCGCAGCCCCCGCACCGTAGGAGAGCGGGTGCGCTCTCCCGCTGTGTGCCGGGGGGAAGGGGCTCTGGGGACCCTCCGGGGGCCCGGGGGGGGTGGCACAGGGGGCAGGGTCTCCCTTGGGGGCTGGCGGGTTCCCCGGGAGGGCAGTTGCTCCCGCTCCCCCCCCTCCCGAGGGGGTCTGGCCCCCTCCTGCGGCCGGTCCCGGGGCTGCGCGGGGGGCGGCGGGGGCTCCGGGACGGGGACACCCGGGGAGGGCAGCGCCCCCGGCCTTCGCCCTTCTCCTGCCACCGCTCCTCGCTCCGTCCCCGGGCCCCGCCACGGAGGGGCCGCCCCCGGCCCGCCCCCGCGCTCGGCCCTACATAGAGAGCGGCGGTGCCCGCCCCGGCCCCCGCCCGCCCGGCTCCGCCATGGCCCCGGCGCTCCGGCTCTGCGCCGCCCT